AAAGGTTTACTTTATTTATTTTTATTCCCTTTAAATTTACTTCACATTTTTGTTTGGTTACGCCTAGAACCTGGATATTAAAGTAAATTAAGAGACTGCCTAACAAGGAATATCATTGAAACAATACTCGAGACACGCTTCATAAGTTAGAAAAAGTGTGTCTGTACAGACATTTTATACAAATATGTGAGTCAATAAGGAAAATATTACTTAAACTGATAATATTACAATATTTATACGGTAACATTATCGAAGACGGAATGCCGTATTGCTAGAGGACTGTTTGGGTGCTTTATGGGTTCGAATGCCTTAAGACATCTACAGTTGAGGGTTATATTCATACCTACAGTACGGTTGACTATGTATTTTGGTGATCTGTCGATGTAATATCTGCAAGTCTGTCGATCTAATCTGATGGAATGTCGCTTTATAATGAGATAGTGTCAAAGGTTATCGTCTATATATTACGAATTTGCGAGGGCGTAAAGTACAAAAACGGGGTATTTACCTTTACTTGTAGAATTTTCTGCTTGAGGTCATCACTAGTCAACAAAAAAACTTTCTTGTTCTATGACACCAAATTCGTTATTCCTAATGTCTGGGTAATACAAGTACATTATTGTATACAGAATTATAGACATTTAAAACTTGAGCGTATTTTTTTATGACCCTGTGTAAGAGTTTCATAAATTATGCATTCATAAAGCATCCACACACACACACACACACACACACACACAGAGCAAAATCAAGAATGTGGTTTCTCAAGGAAATATTCAAACTAGTTAATAACAAGGAGTTAATACATAAGACCGTTAAATATAAGTTTATTCTATTTTTCCATAATATTTACAAAACGTAACACATGAACCTTTCAAATATTTAGAGAAACACTTCAGCCTTAAGGAAATCTTTTTCGGAAAAATGTTACTTTTGTAATTCAGTTATAAGCTCTCAGTTGGTGAAACACTTAGTGAAACTCTCTCTCTCTCTCTCTCTCTCTCTAGTTATAATATATTTGTTGTAACCTACGATCACTGCAGAAGAAGACCGTAGGTTAGGTTACAGTCGAAATATACAGTGGAATTACGTAATTTATACAACGTGGAACTCTTTCTCACTCTGTATCTTTGTGTAATCTGCTTCTGATGATGTGTTAAATACACATAAGCAATATTGCAATTTTCTTTTTTCTTAAGTGGCTTACACACACACACACACACACATTATATATATATATATATATATATATATATATATATATATATATATATATATATATATATATATATATATATATATATATATATATATATATATATATATATATATATATATACACTTAATTTTAGTCCATATAACACACGGACTTGAACATATAATCAACGACCTCACCAGCCAGGACTCGAGCCCTAGACCTTATACGTGTGACCATGGTTGGCAGCGTTCTCTGGTCACACGCTTAAGGTCTAGGGTTCGAGTCTTGGCTGGTGAGGTCGTTGATTATTATATGTTCAAGTCCACGTGTTATATATATATATATATATATATATATATATATATATATATATATATATATATATATATATATATATATATATATATATATATATATATATTTCATGTAGATCCCCAATGGAAACTTGGACAAGATAAATCTTGATAAAATCACTCGGGAAAAGTGAAACAACGGAGCACCTTAGCTTTCGTCTTTATTCAAGACATCTTCAGAGGCAACTGAAGATGTCTTGAATAAAGACGAAAGCTAGGGTGCTCCGTTGTTTCCCTTTTCCCGAGTGATTTTATCAATATATATATATATATATATATATATATATATATATATATATATATATATATATATATATATATATATATATATATATATATATATATATCGTGTGCGATGCGTTATCATACATGAATACATATTTAATAAAATATGATACTCAAGTAAACTACTGTCTCTGGGTGGACTTATTTATTCAATAAACTAGACATAACATTTCAAAGTGAGGGTAAATACTCTTTTAAATCTGACTATGTTTTCATTTAATATTTAATTGTTGCTTCTTAATACTATAAAGTAACATTCCTTTGTCCGTAAAATTTGGCAAAATTCTTGTAACTGAGAGGAAAGAACTTGTGAAGTATATTTCGTGGAAGGAAATGATCTGGCGCCTTCATAGCGGAACAATGATCCAGGGCATTGACTGCTGGAAATAACGGGTGGAAGTGTGAAGGCAAGAATACTCTCATATCCTTTTGCCTAAAGTTCTGGCAAGATCTCCTACTGTAAGGACGCGTTTCCACCGAACCATATTTCCTCCACCTACGAATCCACCTGTACACTGTAGACAGACTGGCTCCACTCTCAACTGATATGTCGCGCGCTGATTTGCCACCCAACCACATCGTCACGATCCTTGCTCGCTCAGCTAACACGATTGGATTGTTTGCTTTTCGCTTATCCATTGGCAAGATTCTGTCAAATAAGAGTATTGTATGTATGTTAGCAAAGGGTAACTGAAATGTAACCTAGCAATACTAAGTAAGGGTTCAGTAAATATTATTTTTAAATTATATTGTCGTTCATGTGTAATCCGAAATCTACCTGGAGAATAACAATCAGTTATTGAAATTATAAAATAAATGATATTCTTGAGCTACTCTACTGTGATTAAGGTGTGGTTCAATTGAGTGATAATTGGATAGATCGACAAATGTGCGTGTGTCCCGGGTGGGGGGCTAAGCCACCTGCACTACACACACAGGTGTAAAAGTGAGCGGGTTCCTCGTGAAACACCAGAACCACTGGCACCTTTCTCACTTTTACACCTTCGTCCATAGTGCAGGCGGTTGCGTCCAACACCCGGAGTACATTACCGACCCGGGGCACACGCACATTTGTGATAACTCTCTATGGCATTTATATTATTCTAAATCATCCATGAAATATAATTATGATCTGTAAGAAACACGAAAGAGTGAGAGGCGAGAATAGTAAGGTGATGCTGACACACCAGATTCACGCTATGTCCTCTTACTACAGGAAATCACTTATGTTCAATAGGAGATATTGCCAATGCCAATGGGTAAGCGTTTTATAAGTACTTGACATTGTAAGACATAACATGAAGACCATGATTTTTTGCGGGACGATTTTTTATTCGAGAATCCTAAATAATTCCCAAACAATAAAACCTCTATCAGTTAGGAACTTAGTATTTTGCGTAAATGTAGCCTACTTTTACAGAAAGGCGTGACTTGATCTTGGGAGTTATCAGATATCACGTGATTTATCGCGTCAATGGTGTTTTTCACTGTCACGCTATGGTGCTACATTTACGCAAAATATTAAGTTCTTAACTGATATACAGTAGGTTTTATTGTATGGGAGTTATTTAGGGTTCTCGAATAAAAAAAATCCGTCTTTATTACTGTAGTTGCATGATTCTAACAGGGTCTATTGAGGTAAAGCTAGATGGTATCATATTGGTAGAATAATCCGAGAAGACCGGAAAACTCGCCAACTGCACTGGCTAACCATTACCCCAGAATATGATCAGCAAATCAATTAACACCTAGATTTTCATTACTTCTGGGTATACAGACGCAATTGGCATAAAGAAACTTGCCCATAGTTTCACCCCGCCCGGGGTAAAACTACATTTGAAATCAACAGTGGGTGTAAGTTTATTTCGTCCAATGAGTGAAGACACCAGGGGTCCCGCTAAGTTGTATATTAGTCATACACACCACTTCAAACTGTGTGTGCGTGTGTGTGTGTGTTGAGGAATGGTTATCAATGACATTATTAAAAATAACAAGTATAACAAAAAATGCCCTTGAGTATAGTGTCTACGGCATAAAATTAGCAAGTTATTCCGGAAATGTAAAGCATAAAACTATATATATATATGTATATATATTACAGACTATGGAGTAGTTACTGACAAGGCTAATATGTGCAGGGCAAAATTTGCACATGCACATTTGTATCAAGAAGACGGGGATTTTGCCGATTCGTACTGCTTAGGATTTTAGTAAGATTTACATTTATATAATATATAAATGGATCATCACACACAGTCTGGCAGTTTTTTTCACTTTCTCTCTGAGATAAATGGACTTTCACTATTCACAATTAGGGTTTTAATTGAGTTAGCCGGAACAGTTTGTTAAATCGTTAAAAAAAATATTTAGCAGTTAGTGGAAATTTATCGTGAAATGGTAAAATTAGGACCTTATTTTTCTTATTATTAACTAATATATGTTGCACAAAATGGAGAAAGTTTATACTTATGTATCACAGAATCATTTGGACACATGAAGCAAACAGCTTTATTTTTGTTCCACAAGAACATTAAGTTGGAAATAAAACCATTGAAATATGTCATTCTATTTCCCTTAAATTGTTTGTATAGGAAGCCTCTGACATACTGTACATTCCCGACGAAAATCGCCCATGAGGCCGACTTCGATAACTGCCAACATCTGGCTGCTACTAGTTAACAGTTAACCAACTATATCTATGATATCATTAGCGTCGGGTAAAAACTTGAGATAAACATAAAGTTTGTCATTCATGTTTCACTTAAAACATTAATTATAATCCCAAACGTACACAAAGTGACTGAAATTTTCTCTTACCTGGCAGGTTAAAAAAAATGTAGCTCATCTAAATTGTGAAAGGTTGAAAACTTGAAACACTAAAATTTTAAACACGAGGCGTTATTAATAGTGTACAATATATTCTTGTTCATGTATGACAACTGCTCAGATAGACGCTAGCCAATTTACTGTAATAATGTTATATCTCGAGGTGTTTTTATCATCAAAATTCTATTATATTAATTTAAATATTTAAATGATTAAAATTTAGCGACTTATTAGGTTTTGTAAACCTCCCTTGGACAGTACTCGTACAGATTGCATTGCGTGTCACCAGTGTTGAGCTAAAGGTTGAACTGATTGTCGTTGACGTGTACTGAACTAACCTTGTAGTTATCTGTTGAGACGGTCAATATTCATTTCGTGCTGTTTACCATCTCTAACATCTAAAAGACAGTAAATGAGTGAATATAAGCTTAAAAAAAATACTGTACCCTTATAAATTGTAATAAAAATTAAGGTAGTATCAACAGTGGTCGTTGCAATATTTTTTCATTAAAAATTAGTTTATTCTAAAGTATTGTAATTACGTCGTTAATTATTATTAAGTATATGTAAAATAATTATGCCAAATTGTTACAAAATGCCATGCAGAAAAGCTAAAAGGCATTTTGGCTTCTGGGTGATCCGATTTACACCAACGCATGCAAATCGACCTTAATGAAAAGCGGTTATTTAGCAATTGCCATCACACCCCTGATTACAGCCCACTTGGACGTTGAAAAAAAATTATTTTCAAATATACATAATAAAAGAATATAAATTAACCTAGGATAACACTATATATATATATATATATATATATATATATATATATATATATATATATATATATATATATATATATATATATATATTCAATCCAAATGAAAACGTGGATAAGATAATCTTGATAACATGCGGGATGGACACGGAGATTCCAGCTGTTTTGTTCAAGACATCTTCAGGCAGTTGCCTTGAAGATGTCTTGAATAAAGACGGAGTCAAGGTGCCCGTTGTTTCATTTCCGTGGATTTTATCAAGATATATATATATATATATATATATATATATATATATATATATATATATATATAATTACGTACCATCACATTAAACTTTACTTTATGATCCTTTATCCAACACACACACGTTATACTTTCTACTAAGTACGTCTCAAAAAGCGGACCCAAGCGCTATACTCACACCGTGTTAACCTCCCGTCTCTGCCGCACAACTCTCCCCGCTACCTGCCTGACTCCTTATTTATAGGAAAGAAGTAACAGACTCACGCAGGTCCTGCTCACCATTTCTTACGTCACGGCAAACCTGGTCTGTTATTGGTAGCTCCTGTCTCTGCTTCTCCCATGAAACTATTTGAGCATTTATAGATTATAAAGTTTACATCACTATATACTGTAGTTCACACAGAAGAGAGATTACAACATGAAATTTTCATGATAACTCTTTGTGTGTGTGTGTGTATTTCCCTCCACATATTAAGTTTATAAATCTTCCAGAATTTCCTTAGCGCCAGGGAAATAGTGCTAGGAATGATGACAAAACTAAACTTGGCGCGGAGTTAAAACCAAAACGAGTCAAAGAGAGGACTCAGAACACGACTAACTTAAATGTCCACTACGCAAACAGTAGGAGTATGAGAAACAAAACGGATGAAACCAGGGCGTTGGTATGTACCGTTCATTGGTGGCTGTTTCTTGGGCACCTCCTCCAAGTGGGGAACAGGAGACGGAATTCCGCTTGTTTTTGGAGGTATCTCGGGAGTTTTTTCTGCTCTCTTGAGGGTGCTGCCTCTCTTGCCTGTGACCGTGTGTTTACCGACGGTCTGTGCGTGTTGTTCTATTCCTCGTGAACTGTTGCAAGGGGCTTGAGGCTTCACGGTTTTGAGTGATCTCTTGGATGGCAAGTTCTTCCTCTTGTCTGATATCTGTCTCAAGGGCGTCGTCTGTTCCCCTGGTAGTTGTGGAGTTTTGGGGGTCTGGTCTTCCTGCATCTTTTCTGTGAGCTGTGTCATAACTGCATATATCATATTTTCGGTGCTGGTATCTTATTTCTTTATTATCGTAGAGAAAGTCACTATCATAATGGTGATCATCTGTTTTATTTGTTCTTCTGTAAATGCCGCTTGTAAATTGGCAGGCTGGGGTGTATTCAGTTGGGTGGTCGCCTGAGGGGGTTGCAGTGTCTCAGGCAACATGGTGTTCTCCACCACTGCTAGAGTGTTCTGTGCTCTTACTGTTATACAGCTCTGGAGCTGCGGTTGTGGATTCCACTGATTTCTCATGGTTTACTGCATGGACTGATTTTGTCCCGGTGTCTTCAATTTTGTCCTGTAGCCTGGTGGGGGAAGTGCAGGGAAGGAATCCTCTGACAGTTGGGGCGGAGTGGGTGTTGGGTTGACTGTTTTCTGTCGTTGTTGACCCCACACGAATGTGCTCTGAGGTGCTTCTGTTGTGTTTCGTGGTTGAATTTTTGCCATTGCAACTTTCATCCGCTCTCTCCTCTCTGGGCATGATGTGCTCCAAGCGTAATGTTTCTTTCCACATTTTGGGCACTTGGCTGTCGTGATGGTTCATTCCTTGTGTTTTTGAATACGCATTTCTGACATTTGTGGCATCGTAGTGGTTCTGGGACAAAAGGACGCAACTTGTAAATCTCTCAGTTGCCTAGGTCTACCTCCTCTGCGACTGTCCCCTTGATGTCCACTAGCACTTGCCTTGTCTGAGCTTTAACATAAGAACATAAGGAGTCTGCAATAGGCCGGTTGGCCTGTGCATGGCAGCTCCTGTCGAGAGTTACTACCACTCTCTATCATCCATGAATCTATCTAGCTTCCTTTTGAAACTTTCCAGAGTTCCCGCACTTACTACAAAGTTGCTAAGCTTGTTCCACTCGTCCACCACCCTATTTGTGAACCAGTTTCTTCCTATCTCCCTCCGAAACCTAAACTTATCCAACTTGAATCCGTTGCTCCGAGTCCTATCCTGCTCGGATATTATAAGAACTTTATCTATATCCCCTTTATTGATTCCTTTCACCCACTTAAATACTTCTATCATATCTCCCCGCACTCTTCGTCTTTCTAGGGAATGCAAGTTAAGTTTCTTTAACCTATCCTGATATGGAAGGTTTCTAAGTCCCGGAATCATTTTTGTCATTCTTCGCTGCACCGACCCTAGTGAATTTATAGCCATTCTATAATAGGGGCACCAGAACTGGACCGCATAATCGAGGTGCGGCCTGACAAATCGAGGTGCGGCCTGACAATCGAGGTGCGGCCTGACTCGTAACACAACGCTCTTCCTTGGTCACGTTTGGATGTTTTATGATGACTTCTACAGGTAGTTCCAGAGGATATCGTAGTAGGACCATTCTGGTTGTTTTCTCCTCGGGGTCTAATGGCATTATCTTTACCGTCTTCCCGTTGAGATTGGTGACCTCGCTGAGGATCTTGGCTGTGTTGTGGTCTTGGGGGGAGAGTATCAGGTCTTCAACTAGATTGGGCTTCACACTGAACTTGATGTTATTGTATTTTAGTTCCAGTGCTACACTACCTCTTATGCATGGTTGAATTCGCTTTCTGTGGGAATCTTGTACTTCATCATAGTCGGAATCGCTAAGGTAGGTGGTTCTTCCACGGGGTGGATTGCTGGGGACATAATGTCTATGTCGGAGATGTTGTTTTCCTTCCGAGGCCTCTTGTGGCATTTTCCTTCCATCGGTTACGTCTCTCTGTCTCGTCTTTATATCAATAAATTGACAATGAAGGCTTACTACCCTACCTAGTTACTTGTTGCCCTAGGACCAGTGCCGTAGAACCCCTCCCCCCCCTCAACCCCAGCGGGGGTCGTAGGTTGGTGGCTCTGGTTTTGCAACAGGACCCCCCAAAAAGAGGGAGCCAACTCTACCCTATCAGCTAAACTCACCGCCCAGCTCACACCCCTTTGTGGCCTGTCCTAACGACAGTTCCAGCAGAGTTCGTTAATACTGGGAGAATCGGTGAGGGCACTAAAAAATGTGAGCATAAAAGACAAAAACAAGCAAGTCAATTCAACAGAGACGAGACATCCACGTCAAAGTGAGAGTGGCGTGTGTGGCGACAGTAAGTCTGGCCAGGAGCCGACGCGAGCAACTGGAAGGACGAGGGTCGGGAGTAACTGCCACATGCATCCTCCACCTCACTGCCCAGATGAATGTTGACAACACAAAATACAGTACATATATCGTTTCTCACCATTGATATTTTTATCATTTTTGTATTTCTTTATGGTCCTTTATTATTATTATTATGCCTGTAAAAAAAAATAAAAAATAAAATAAAATAAATAAATAAATATATATATTGTATAGATGTGTGGGTACCAAGATATGTGAACACGCCTGACGGCAGGACTCCGTTACCATTCATTGTACCATTTATTCACATGTCTGTATTGCTACATATTATTATACCATGTCTGATATCTTTGCTTATGTCTAATGCCTATGTTCACTTACTATGTCCCGATATACTATGTCTGTACCGCGCTAGTCGAGTAATTAGAGGACCTCATTTATTGTCCTAGTGATGTCTAGCAACTCTCCTTGCCCAGCTAGACAACTTCTCTCAGATCAGCCTCGGCCTACATACGGCCCGGGTCCCTTGTGCCCGCTTCTGTATCGGTCGGCTATCACGCCAAGTCTTGTACAACTTATTGAATATATCTACTGCTCGTGCTCTGGAGTTTGAAGAACCTTGTCTAGGATTGCATTCCACCACATGGCGCAGTTGAGTAGCTCCAACACGACAGTTCACAAGTTGCAAAAGCCGGCCTAGTCCGTTTCCCGCCCAGAAGATATACTCCACAGTGCCCCTGGATTTAAAGTGCTTTGTGACCTTGTGAAGTGCCCCAAGTGAAGTGCAGTGCCTTTCATGTCTGTTTGCTATGTCTCTGCGGCCCTACAGGTAGCAGAAACGCCTTCAGCCCAGTCTCCAAGACAGCACCTCTGGCATACACCCCCCGTCCGCACAGGCCCGCAAGCCACTGACTTCCCTACACTGAGTCACCACCAGCCCCGCCCGGGCGCCCGGAGGGATACACCGCTGCCAGCCGTCTCCCCTCTCTTCACAAATATTACAGTCAGTACTCTTTTACTTGCCCGCCAGTTCCTGCACTTAAGCAAGTACATTGACGAAAACATAGCACTTCACCTTATTCTCCTTGTCTTTCCCATCGCAACCATAACAAACACGAGATGTCTGACCACGACGATTTGCTGGGAAATTTATATGAGGATTATGAGGAAGACGACGCCTCACACGCCGGGCGCGCCAAATTCTAAGGATGGGAGCCAGGATATACGTCAGTTAATTCACTTCCTACAAGTTTCCCAAGAGAAGGAAGCCCAAAGACGTCAATTAGAGGAGGAAAAACGACGTCAAGAGGAATTGTCAAGACAGTCAGAGGAATCAGCTTACCGTCTTCAACTTCAACAACAACACCAAGCTGATAACCACAAACTCCTGGGACTATTTGAATTGCTGGCAACGAGGACGACTTCACCAGCTGCCACAACCAATTCGCCAGCTTCAGCCTCTTCATCTATCCTTCAGACAACGCCTCCTCACACGTCACCTATCCTCCTTGGGTATGCCTCAGTGCCTTCTCAACCACCTGTTCCAGTCTCAACTCTCGTCGACCTCTCCGTGCCTCCTCCACCGCCTGCCGTCTCGAGCACACCCCTGCACAGCAAGTCTTCAGTTACCAGCCCCCCACCTCTTCAATCTGATGCAACATATCAAGTATACCGTCAATGGCGACGTCGTTTCGAAGACTTTGCTGTCATGTCTGACCTCAACCGAATGCCCCCTCATAAACAACTCATCCAATTAAGATCGTGCATCTCCCTCGATGTTCAACGCCTCCTAGAGCACACGCTAGCCATTCCCCCTGACTCCTCCATGTCAGTGAAAGAGGTCTTAGACGCCTTGCAGAGTCATTTCCGTGGCCTCCGCAATGAAGCTTTGCGTCGTAGGGAACTGCTATCCTGCAAACAAGCCTCTGGGGAATCATTCTCAGACTTCTATGCACGACTTAAGGACCTAGCAGCCGAGGTGGACCTATGTACAGGCGATCCTGTAACCTGTGCTGAGATCCAGCTCAAGATGATCTTGCTGATGGGTGTACGTGACGAGGACCTGCTTCAGAAACTCCTCACCCTCGACGCCGCCTCTCCCCTCACCGACTTCGTCACCCGTTGCAGGTCGTATGAGGCCACAAGAGAGGCTGCCTCAGCTATACACTCATCGCCATCTCAAGTTCACGCCGTCTCCACCTACAAGAGGAATCAACGCCAGATGCAGACGGCGTCCTCTCCACAGCCCCCGTCACGGTCACCAGTTTTTTCTCCCGAATCCTGCAGAAGCTGTCAGCGCCAGCACGGTCCAGGAAAGTGCCCTGCGGCTGATAGTACATGTCGAAACTGCGGGTTTCAAGGCCATTGGCCCCGCACACCTCGATGTCCCGCCAACAAGGTCTCGTGCAACGCTTGCAACAAGCAAGGACACTTCGCCAAGTGTTGCGGGTCCACCAAGAAGCCTCCATCCCCAGGTCAAAATGTCTCTTCACCGTCTCCCAAGAACAACAAAGGATGCCTACGCGTGGATGATGCCTCGAGTGACAGGTCCCCCAAGCCCGTCAATGTTCGTCTGTCCTACGGCACCAACTCTTGCAACCTCCTGATGATACCTGACACGGGCGCGGACATCACGGTGATTGGACCAACACACCTGGACGTCCTCAACATCCCCAGGAGTAGCCTGTCACCCACAGCCAGGAACGACGTGCTCACAGCGGACGGGTCCCCGATGTCTCCAGCTTTGGGGTGCTTCAAGGCAACATTACAGCTCGGTCCCAAGTCTTGCCTTGCCACAGTCCACGTCCACGAGGGCATCCAAACCCCTCTCTTGTCATGTGGC